AGAAAAGAAAAAAAAACTTAAAAAAATCAAATAAATAAAATAAAAAAAATAATTACTCTATTTTTTGCGTGAACTTTAATCAAACATATATTCAACAGTTTATACGCCGCTGGGTACATAAAAAACGCAGCACATTGAATTTGGTTAACAAGAATTAATTGAAAAAGTTAGGAGGAGAGGGGAGCAATGGTAAACATACATATGTATTAGCGTTCATGTAACTAAGTGCTCTAATTTTACTAAGCTAAGCAACGATCTAAAGGTAATAACAGAAAAAATCCTTTACGCTTCAGCCGATTGGGGCATCATGTCTAAGGATTTACACACTTGCGACATAATTTCGTTATTTTGCCAATTTCACGCCTAAAGTCTTACTTTTCACATTTCTACACTTTATCGTAAAACTATAAAGTTGCGCAGTTGTGTGATGATAACGCCTTGCAGGTGACTCTATGTGAGGATATCGTGAATGGTTGTGGCGGCAGCAGCTGTAACGGGACTAGCGTTTGGTAAGTGCGTTCGATAGGAATGTGCCAGCGTTGTGCGACCGCGGTTGTGCGTCTGCTCGCAATTTAATAAACGTCATTTTTTGCTATTAAAACTCGTTTTCGGCAGCACATTGACGAAAGCGGTATGCACTGGCAAAGCGGGCGCCACAAAACCCAAATCGGGTATTAGTGAAATGCTCGGCGCCACACGAGCACTGCCTACCTGTAATGGTGAGTATGATGTATTGGAATGTTGTTGCATATGGTTCATATTGACATTGTTGCTGTTAATCAGAGCGTTTTGTGGACGGTTTGTTACAGGCGCCGTGGAGAAATCCTGCATTATATGTATTTGCTGTTGTAGTTGCAACTGTTGCTGCTGCGGCGTTAAGGGTGATGTGCGCGTCTGCATGGTCGCCTGCTGGTGGTACAGACCGAGCGGATTATTGTAGAAGTTGGCGTTTTGCCAGGCGGCGCTGTTGAATTGGGGCGCATGTGTGGCGGGCATATAGGATGCCGCGTGCTGTTGCTGTGTGGCGGCTGACGTAGGTGTTGGTGTGCTCGACACGAAGTCGGACCAATCATCATCATTACTGTTACTGTTGGTGTTGCTATTGCTGTTGCTGTTGTAGGCATTACTGCGGGCGCTAATGTGCGCGCTGTTGGCAGACGCATGCGCAGTTGACTTGTGTTGTGGTGTTGGCGTTAGTGTCCGTTGGGCGTTTATGTTTGGTTGTTGATGACGAGGCGTGCGCATTGCATTATTGCTGTTGTTGGCACTGTTGATATGCACATCGGTTATGCGCTTTTGCGTTATGACCAGTTGATTGTTATTGTTGCTTTTGTTATTGCTATTATTGTTATTGTTGAGGCGACTTGCATTATTTGGCAATTGTGGCGTCACCGGCACCGACACAAACTCCGACCAGTAGTCATCGTTGAGTGTGGAGTCCTGCTCCTTCAACGCTACAGAAGCGC